CCTCCAAGTCACCCTCACACTGGTTTCCTCAGCGTATGGCCAATCCATCTCCATTTCTTCTTGCCTATTTGTGTCACAATCGGTTCCTGGTTGGTTCGCTCATTGCCAGAGATCCCTCCCTATTGTTGATCTTTTCTGGCCGGCCATCTGATCTTGAGTAGTATTGAGAGAAGACAACTGTTAATGAAGGTGTGAAGTTTGTTTGAGATGCTCTTTATGACGCGCAGTGCAAGTCTCTGATCCGTATAGTGAGTAGCACTGACTGACTTCACATTAGAGTTGAAAATCCGGATCTTATTTTTGATTCTGAGTGCTGTTGATCTCCACACAGACTTAAGAGTAATGAAAGCTTGTCTTGCTTTTCCGATTCCGGCTTTGATATCCTGACTACATTTAATTACACCCAACCATACAAAAGGATGGGATGGGATAGGATAAGATGACAGTTTTAATAATCTAATCTAATATAACAACAGGGTGGAGGGAGAGAGAGAGATTGATAACTGACTGAAGCTTTGTTTATCGAATCAACTGCGAGGGAATACGTGTAACTGGAGTGTGATTCAACACTTGTCCACCTGGACATTTAGAAAGTTCTACTACGCCCCCCCCCTTCCGATACAACGACGAATAGGAGGGAATAGAGAAAAACTATAAAACTCACGTTTCGAAGTTATGTGATAATAATTGATACGATTATAAACCACAATAAAATGTATTCAAAATATTGTCATGCAGTGAATAATACTGTTTCACTTTCTCCGTGTGTGTGTGTGTGTGATATATCCAATAAACAAATTAATGTAGAATGGAGTACTACCACAGTGGCCAAGTTCTATCCATATGTAAAAAGAGAGACAAAGAGTAAATGAGTAAAAACGTCAGGGAGAAATAACAGTCACCTAGGGAAAACACAGCGGTTTAATAGATATATGCGAGATCACAAACACAGGAGGCATTTACGATAATGAGAAGAATTTTAGGCCAGTTATATTCACCAACAAGTGCGTCGGTTGTATAGCGGTTAGGACGTTTGCCGACCATGCATATGGTCCGGGGTTCGACCCCCGGCCACCGACGCACTCCTTTACCTCACTGAGCCAGAAATAATGCTGGTTAAGAGGAAAGCTTGGGCTGGGCAGGAGGCTAGCAACCCGATCCTGTAAAAATAAACACTGCTACAGAAACTTCAAGCCAATAGCTTGAAGGCGCCCTATGTTCCACTGGGAACGTGAAGGAAAAATTATTATTATTATATTCACCAATAGTCTCTAGCTATTAGATCTTAGCATCTCGAAGAACTCGACCAGTCGGGAGGACTACACCTACCTCTGTGGATGGTTCAAACCAACTGTTTAAGACATAACAAGACAAAGACAAAAATCTCTTCAAAAGTAATCCTATATCACACAGTGTGTTATACAGTAATATTAACTGATGACCACGTTTCAAGCACAAACTATTGCCACTCATATCATATCAAGGCACTACTCACACAACTTTCTTACTTCATTTATATACATGAATAAAAGTTGATGATTAGGCATTTGAATAAAAATCAATACAAGATGATAAAGTACATTCAGAAATAAGAATATGACTGTTAATGATCAATTACAATCAGATGGGGAATAAGACGAGTGTTTTTATAGTCAAAATAAATAAGTAACTTGTTAGAATGTTGTGATGTACGTGAATGGAATTGAAATAGAACACAATTTAAGATTATTTATTATCCTCCTCTGATTTGACTGACTCACTGGTGGTAATAATATCTTCCATATCTCTGGTATTTGCGTTGAGTCATTTCTGTTGCATGTGCTGTGTTGGGTGTAGATTCACTCGATGAACAAGGATTCAGTAATCAATCTCCCTCGCTCTCCACCTACCTGTATTACTCTTTAGAATTTTGACTCTGCCAGACCCTATTGTATGGTTGTGTGTTAATGCATACAGTGCTACAAATGAGTTTTTTTAAGTTACTTATCTTCGTAGGATCAATCATTCTTACCCCGGCCAAATTCTTATGTTCTGATAATCTCACTACTCCTGATTTATTAGTTTGACGTATGTAGTTGAGCAAACTCACAGTCATCTCAAGGAGTTGTGTAAATTATATGATTTTGTTCAATTGGGTCAATCCACAGGGTCCTTTAGCCTACAGGACCTACAAACTAAGCAATAGCACTAAGTAGTACAACAAAAAACCTAAACGATAAAATGAAACAGATACAAGAGGCGTTGGTGTTAATCAACTAACCGTCCCATAAAATTCATTAGGAAGATCAGGTCAAAAGCAAAATAAAAATGATAGGGAAACCAAAAATGATAACATAAGAGAGGCATCTACAGATCTACCTCATAAGGAGGAGACATCTGAGACCGTACGTAGGATTCTCAAAAGATTAGGATGGCATTCAAACCTACAACCTCACTCAGATATTACAAGCTCTGTAGGCTAAAAGACCCGGTAGACCCAATTAGACAAAATAATATAATTTACAAAATACCTTGTAATGACTGCGAGGTCAACTATATAGGTCAAACTAATAGATCAGAAGGTAATCAGATTATCGGGACATAAGATTTTAGCTAAGGTAAGAATGGTTGACGCCGAAAAGATAAGTAATTTAGAAAAAAGGTCAGCTATTGCACTTCATGCGTTAACACACAACCACACAATAGGGTGGGAGAGGGTTAAGATTCTGAAAGGTAATCTATGTAGGTGGAGATGGAATCTATGGTTGGAAACAATTGGTGACATGGCTCAAAATCGTTCTCAGTGGCGCAGATGCATCCACTCCCTGTGACTTATGATCTCCAATGAAACTGTTTTGTATTTCCTTATTACTCCTTTGTCTCACACCTCTGCTCACTGTTTCTATTATGCTTTTCTTGTACTTTCTTCTCTTGCTTCGCGTGCTACACGGAATGTGGCGACTTGAACTTCCGCACATTTGTGCAAAGTTCTATGTCGAAAACAGACAGACAGATGTAGGTGGAGAGAGAGATTGATTACTCAATCCTGGCTTATTGACTCAATGCAAATACCAGAAATATGGAAGATATTATTACCACCAGTCAGTCGGTCAAATCACAGGAGGATAATAAATAATCTTAAAATTCTATTTCAATTCACATATATCTTAGCATTCTAACAAGTAACTTATTTTGACTATGAAATCCGTCGTCTTATTTCCCATCTGATTGTACTTGATCAATAACACTCATACTGTTATTTCTGAATGCACTTTATCTTATATTAAAATTATTCAAATGCCTAGTCGATTTTTACTCATGCATATAAATGAAGTAAAAAGCTGTGTGAGCGACTTGATATGATTATGAGTGGCAATAGTTTGTGCTTGAAACGTGGCCACCAGTAAATATTACTGTATAACACTACACTGTGTGCTTTATCAAAATAAAATCTTATCTATAATGGAGTCGCACACTACCACAGTGCCTAAGTTTTGTACTTATGTCACTAATCCTATGTCAGCTAGCATTATTCGACACGTACAACATGTATTCTTGTCATCTCAATCGATGTAGCGAAAAGACCACTCGGTGTTTAAATCGCTTCTATCTGGATGGCTAAGCAAGGCACCATTGATCGATGTGCCTAGTGTCTAACTCCTGTCAATCAATTAAATTGTATGCACCGTGATGAGAATTCATGCCTTTTCATCAATATGTACTACGATTCAACAATCGCGTGTGTTTGTGTTCATAAACCATTAAATAAGACTTATTCTATTTTATTCATTTGCATTCTCAATAGAATATAGGGCTTCAAGTTAGAGCTCTTTTGAAGTTTCGGTAGCAGTAGTTTTGCTTTTATTTCTACAGGGTGGAGGGAGAGTTGCTAGATTCATGCCCAACCTTCCCTCCTTACCGGTCTTATTACTGGCTTAGCCAGGTAAAGGAGTGAAAACGAACAGGGATCGACACCCGGACCACATATGTGGTTTGGCGAGCATTTTATCTCTAAGCCACCGACACTGTTCAGACTTCAGTAGAGGCTAGCACGCACCCATTATACAATTGGCTGAAGTCAGCCCTCTCCGTGCGGATACAGACGGCTAGTTTCGCATAGGCCAGTTCATGCCGCCTCTGGCACAGTAGACGTGATATCCCACTGGCTATCGACCAAAGGACGTGTGTACTGTTCAGCAGTCCGTTTCGTCCTCCTTTATGACTGAGACCTGACCATTGAGAGTGGAAGAAATGAAAAGATTCGCTATCTTTGATCATAGGTGCCTGCGCTCTGTCTCCCGTGTGATGTCGTATAATAAGGTGAGCAATATTGAGTTGAGGTCTCGGTGGAGTGCTAGGTAAGGAGGGAGGGGAAATCAATCGACGAGGCTGTGAAGCTACATCGACTGAGATGGTTAGGACATGTGTTACGTGTGCCTAGTCATCGACTTCTCCAAATGACGGGCAATGTTAGCTGATATAGGGTCAGGCTGGAAAAGAGATAACTAGTGGTGGTCAAACCAAAACATGGCTTTATCAGCCAATGAAGTCCACTACAGTTAGTTTAAGCCAACCAGTCACGTAGGAAGGTGTAGACATCCTGACTGTCTGGTTGGGGACAGTAAAAACCAATGAAGGCTGGAAACAATTAGTGATATGGCTCAAAGTGATCGTTGTCAATGGCTGGCTGGCACAGATCCATCCATTCCTTGTGACTTATGATTTCCAATGAAACTGTTTTGTTCTTAGTTATTACTATTCTTTTGTCTCACACCTCTGTTTACTGTCTCTCTCTATTATGCATTTCTTCTTTCTTCTCTTGGTTTGTGTGCTACATGGAGTGGAGTGTGGCGACTTGAACTGCTTCACATCAGTGCAAAGTTCTATGTTGAAAACAGACAGACAGACAGCATAATTAGAAATAACTGTTGTAAACACTGATTATATCGAAAAAAACAAGATATTTTTCACCTACCACATGAATTTTTCAGAGTAAATCTAGTCAACACGTATAAATTATCTTACTTGAATAAATATTTTGCCCACACAACACAATGGATTGGTTCAGAAGGTGTATTACGTATAGTACAAGCAGGATAATGACGTTGGCCTAAACCACGCGGTTGACATTCATAACATCCAGTACGATAGGCTGACATATTGTCATTCAGTTTTCCATCCGAATGTGTTGATTCATCTGTTCGAATGACAGGAAGCAGTGGTTCAACTTGTCCCAAGTAACCAGCAGTACCAGATTCGATTAGAGGAATCTTTGCTGATACACACATACGATTAACATGTTTTCGTGCAGCTGCAGATGCAAAAAATGAAATATGTATGCAATGTAATCATTTCTATTATTGTTATTATTACTAAAACATAAACTTGGGATAGTATGGGTGCCAAGAGATACGCCACACAAACAAAAGGGACCACAACCCCGAGCATTGTACTTGAAATCAAGTCCACAAGGTAGTGGAGTGGAGTCAGAAGCGACGTTCACATGGTTGTGGACGGCCGAAACAGGTTCATGCACCATTCGATCCATTTAGATTGTGCAGCCCATGCAAACTATAAATTTGGAATCAAGGTTTTTCCAGCTCTCCTATGCTGAACAGCATATTCACCAATCCGGTTGTAAGTTTCCGACGTTAGCATTCAGTCTTTCAGCTTCGCTTTCTGTGCTATATGGAGGGAGGATAGGAACTTGAACTGCTGGACACCTGTGCAAAGTTCTACATTGAAAACAGCCAGTCAGTCAATCATAAGATGTTAAATATCGTGATGATGTAGTGTCAGAAGATTTACGCTGACAAGACTAATGCATGCACCAAAAATCGTTATCCGACTAATATGATTAAAACGTATATCACGGTAACACTTTTTCACAGTATAGTAGTACATGAATACTTTACCAAATCTAACGAAGTTGATAGTCTGCCACCGGCGTCTATCGATTTTTCAGCGTTCACCTGTCTTACTAACCATTTCGCAATACGCTCTCCCAAACTCCATGCAAGGCGTGATTACTCCTCCCTATGTATGTGTCCAAAACACACACACGTAAATTGGTATATAGTGTGGGGTGTGACATAATCACTTGTACACTTCTGGGGTTTGCAGTGGAGCATAATTTTGGCTTTTTCAATAATTACAAACCGAGCCCCATAATAAGTGCTGTGGATGACTGAATTTAGTTTCTGTCTCAAAATCCTGCCATTCACTTCCCCACTGTACAATAATTTAATGAAAACACTTTTCTCGGGGACAAAGTAGCTTGTAGGTTTTAAAACTAACTGCCTTCTGCACCGCTTTAAAAATTCCAGAGGATATATGTTTTTGACGTGTGCGTCTGTGGCACAGCGGTAGTATGATTGCCAACAACACAATGTGGTCCGGGGTTCGATCCCCAGCTGACACGCCCCTTTACCTCTGTGGGCTAGTAATGACTGGTAAAGAAGGAAGGATGGGAAGGAGGCTAGCAACCCCATATCGTAAAAATAAACACCACTACTACCAAGACATCAAGCCTCTATAGCTTGAAGCCCCATGTTCCACTGGGAACGTAAAGGAATAAAATGCGTTTCCGACGAGAATATCTATTAGTATTTGATTGTCATCCTCTTTAACATCAGCTGTACAAATACACTGAAGTCTCTTGATTAAACATTTCACCAAGCCTCTCGCATAGTGCAGTGGAAAGGAGTATGTGTGCATGAATTATCCCCGCTATTCTTAAATACGTTTTGTCACTTTGTGTATTTTAATTGGCGGAATACATCACTCCATATTTTTCAGATAATCTTCGTCTTCAAATAACACTATCTAAATTTATAAAAAGGGACTAACTGTTTTAATTAAGCATTGCGAATATGTACAGCAGAATTTCACCACCAACACTGCGAATACAAAGGGATTGAACACACACACACAGAAGATGGTCACAAGTGTTAATGGGGGCATTCTAGACATATGAGTTAATAGAAGAGTAATTGGATACTTATGACAGGTGGTTAGCGTCAACATTAGGACGAATTCAGTTAGTTAAATAAGCATAAACCCTAAATAAAACACTGAAAAGCTGCACGTAGCTGCACATTAACGCTCTGTGTGAATTATGGTGTAAGGTGAGAATATGAATACACAGTACACAAAAATTAGCAGATGCCATTCTGGGCTACATTAGTATATAAGATCTGATTGTTGGTTGATAATAAACTTACCAAGATTGTCTAGTGCATTGAAAACAACAGCGAACTTTTCAAAAAACGTAGAATTAAATGTAGAGCTGAAATCAAGTCAAAGAAACTAACCACTTAATTACCTAAAAATACTTTTGTGGTAGGCGACAATGTTGGCAGTTGGTTTAAAGGCCAAGACATTTTCTCTGGCTGTCTGTTGAAGAATTATATAACGAAAATATTACTCAGACCTCTGCTTTGGATCGTCCAACGTGCTTTTTATGGAAAAGAAACTGTCTATTAAGGTTGCTGATATCGATGGTATCGAGATCGACCTTCAAAATAATAGTAAAAATTTAGAAGAGCAACTTACGATTGTTATGTTATCAAAACCATTATACACTAAATTCTTTAGTAGTTCACATCCAATGCCACCAGCACCAACCAGAAGAACAGGTAAACATTCTGTTGTCCCGTTCATTTTCAAATGAAACAGATAGACAGACCTTGAGAATCCAATATCCAATATTGTCTTTACAAACAAATATTAACCAATTTGATTTCTTTGTGATCGTTTCCTGATTGGGAGGTAAAGGTTTCTGATCTTCGGTTAACTTCTGCATAGTACCACTCGACTGCTTTAGCTTTGGTTGACTCCAAAATGGAGTAGTGCTCGAATTAATCGCATGTTGTTTGTAGTATGTGGCCTGTAAAGACTTTGTTGTTACTGTGAATGGATTTGATCCTTTCACCAGTTAGTCCTCCAGTATCGTCATCAAAAGAAGAGACAATAATAATAGATATAATTAGTCTAAGTTATTCAGATTAAAATACAGAAAAAGAAATGAAAAAATGGGAAAACAGACAGCAACTTAAATCTGAAGTTGCAATATATATCAATATATATGCATATAATATCAGTATTAATGATAAGTGTAAGTGTAGCAGTTGGAACTGCCAGGAAAGTAAGACGGGAGAGAATGTAAAGAGGTGAAACGACGAATTCAGTTGTCTACCCATGAATGGTATATGGGTTTTAAGGGGGTAGGCCATTTGGACTCTGTCCTTGTGTCACTGCATGATTGTCCAGCCTTCGCTTAAAGGCGCCCGCAGTCCATGCAATAGCTATATCTGTCGTAAGGAGTTCCAGGGATGGCAAGCTCGCAGTGAAAAGAATTGGAGTGCACCCGGATCCTTGCCCTCTGGTGTGTTATACTTCTATGGTTTCCAAGAGGAAGCCCATACCTACTCACTGGCATAACACCTTTGTTTGGGTGATTCTTGCCATTCTCTTTCCTGTAAGCAGTAATCAAATCCCACCTAAACCGTTGGTAGCTAAGCGTGAATAGACATGGTAGATCACTGATAAAAATCAAAACGCCAGTGGTCCTGGGATATGACACTGTGACATTCCTGATGACGAGCCGTGCCAAGATGATCGGACTCGACTGACCTTAGTGCAAAATTTACTTTCAGCTTGATAGTCCTTAACCTTGACAGAAGCAGCTTACCCATACCTGACTGACTTATTTCGTGTAGGAGAACGTCATGGTGAAGTGTTTCAAAAAGACAACATGGATTGGAAAATTCATGATGTCCGATCGTCCCAAGCTGACAAAAGGTTTATTACACAGAATCTCCCCTCCTGAAACCTTGTTGGTCTTCATGTAGTCTATTAGTCATATCGAGTCCTACTGATGTGATCATCATCATTACTTACCAGTGCTTTTGATACCACTGGAGTAGAACTACTTGTCTATAACTAGTACCATTTTGCCTATCCCCATCCTTGAAGATCGCAGAAAGGATGACTCTTTTCCACTACCTTGGCAGTTTTCCGAACCCATCGAGTGTTGGAGCAAGCAGCATAAGGGTCTATAGAGAGCTTCGGCCCACTGTTTCAGAACAGATAATAATAATTTATATTTTCATATAAACATATAAATTTACATGAAAATGCATGCCATTTTTACAGCCACGATCAAGTATGATATAATGTCAAATCGTAGAGTGTATACAAGTTAATTACGTTTCAACAGTTAAATATTTGATATATATATACATATATATATATATTTACACCCATTGTCTGAACCAGGCCGTATAGTTATTGAATTGTACAGTTGTCCTACAGGTTGAGCGGGAAAATCGACTTCGTTTCGTTTTCATCCCGTGGTTGTAGGCATACGATAACCAACCAATATTGAGGTAAGTACAACGTTTACAAGGGATTGGAAGCTGTTTTAGAAAAGTTGAAGTGCTAAGATGAATCATTAAAGTGTAATAAAATAAGTAAGTGCAATATATCATTATTAAGTGCATTTATAAAGAAAATAGAATGGAAAATTAATTAATCCCAAGGCCGACAACGTTCATTTGCAATGTATAATGCTACCCATATAGTTCGTACTATTATGATGTCCACTTTTGGCTTTAATGCAATCATTTTCAAGCCAGTTGTTTTTATTTCCTACCTTATCTATTTGGTTCACAACCGCACCCTGCAGAGAATAGGAATATAATAAGTGGAATCGAATTCATAAAGAGCTATATAATGTTAGGTTTTACGGAATATAATGAGGATAAAGTAAAGACGTTATTAGAAAATGAATGAGATGCGACATTGTGAAGTGGTATTCGAAGATCTGACAATGGAAAGCAAGTTAATTTATAAGATGCCCCATAAATCTGTGCAGAGCCCACCTGGTCGCATCTCAACAATAGGCTGAGTGAATAGTATATATTTCAAGGCAGAAGCACGATCTGTCTAGGCTTTCATTATTATCTTTTTCAAGATAAAGATCTAAGCCCTCATAAAAATCAGAAATCTCGAGCCGTCAAATTGCATATTGCTGTTCCTGCAGAATGGGGCGATTCACCTTAGTGACCACCATCATATCTACTGATCAGCTAACGCCACCCTCCCTCCTTTTTTGATGTTATGCTCTGAGACTATGATTATTATGGCTACCGCAAATATATTGCTTGGTACCAGACATGTTCGTACCCCATATTCCATCTCCCTAGCTTTCTTAATGAGTGCTTCCAATAGGTCTCCGCGTACATCTTTATGAACATATTGTATATGTGTGCATGCATCCTAATGAACAGATTACTTTATAAGAAGTCAAAAACTTAAAGAGTAAAACGAATAGGTATTGTGAATAGTGGAGCAAGATTCAGCAGAACACTCTAGTTAGGGTTCAATGTAGGTAGTATGAACTGAAGGTAAGGTCGGCTGGCAGGACTTAGTTTACTTACATATAGTAAACATCTGACATTGCAAAGTAACGTGTCTAGACATATTATAAAGTGATATTAACACAGAACCAACAAAATTTTGGCATTTGGTTAACAATACTGCAGTGTGCGTATACTGAAGAATGGTTGTTAGTTTACAGGGAGCCGTAAAGTAAATCGATCTATATATGATGAGAGTATAATTAATATTATAATGCGTATTATCAAATAATATACTAGGCTCAGTAATTGAGGTTATAAGATAAACAAGCGTGGTAAAGCAAGAGAACATTCGCTGCATAAATATTTTGATCATTTTAAGTATTTTAATAACAATCTAATTTAAGAATTGAACATGCATGATTAACAAGTATTATTATATTAGTATATACATATGTAAAATGTTAAAAGGTGTGGATGCTATTATAATTATTTCCAGTGTTACCCACAGGCCCAACTAAATTTGATAAGTTCTAAGGCACACTGGATATACTTGGCTGGAAACAAACTGTCACTACTCCCACAAGAGGTGATAACGTACTAGACTTAATCGTCTGCCACAATATAAGCCCCCTTTCAACGCTAGTAGGTTCTGAGTTTCCAGGGAGCGACCACAAAACAGTGTTGCGTGCACTGCCACTTCCGCTGAGTAGCAATGCAGCTCATACCTCCACTTCACTACAAGTAATATATAGGAACTATAGTAAGGCAAACTGGGCCTTAGTAGAATCAATGCTAAGATCCTCCGAATGGGATGTATACTTCACTACTGATGACCTATCGAGAGCCCTAACCATCTTCTACCATAACTCTAACACATGCTTAGATGCTGTCATTCCACTCCAAACACTAAAGGTTTCCCCACACAGAAAGTCATTCATAAAACCAAAGGATCGTACGAAACTGAAGAGACTCTCAACAAGTTACTTCAAACACCACGACTTTGGCACTCTAGGTCTAATACTTAACACCCTTAGCTCCATCTCACAAGCTCGAGATTTCCGTATGAGAAAGGAAGAACGCATCGCAGTAGCCAGTCCTGCTAGAGTGTGTGCACTCACAGAAATCTTAAGGAAGCGAATGAATCGCAAAAATCACAGCATTTCTCTCCTCATAGACAAAGGTAGGCTATGCACTAACTCTGAAGACATATGTGAACTATTCAACAAAACGTTTGCAGGTAACTACCTTAAGCCCTCAGTCCAGCTACTCGATATACACCCTATTAATAATATGGCACAAACTCCATCTCCACTCACACCAAACCAAATTAGCACTGTTGAATTCACTTACGCTAATATTAACCAAACTATAAGAACCCTCAAAAGTTCAAAAGGTTTCGGTACCGACGGTATATCATCTTACTTCTATAAATATGGTGGCCCTGACATTCCTCTACTGCTGCTTAAAATATTCACAATGTCCCTAGAAACCCAAACTTACCCTGACATATGGAAGACAACATTCATTATGCCTAAACACAAATCTGGCTCGAAAACTGAAGTCAGTAACTACCGGCCGATCAATATCACACCTATAGCATCTAGAATCATGGAGAGACTAGTCAAAGATAACTTAATCAAACATATGCTTAGCTGCAATATTATAAGTCCGAACCAACATGGATTCCTGAAATCCAGATCATGTTTAACATGTCACCTAGACTTCTTCAATTTTGTAACCAGCAGTCGTGACAGACGGCAACTAGTACTTGTCATCTACTTTGACATTTCTAAGGCATTTGACCGTGTTGACCATTTACTGCTAACAAATAAGCTGAACTCCTTAGGAATACGTGACCCATTATTAGGATGGCTTAAATCATTCCTTAACAATAGTTCCCAAATAGTTAAACTCGGGTCTGCAACCTCCAAACCTAGCCCTATCACTTCTGGTGTAGTACAAGGTAGTGTCATTGGACCCCTCCTATTTACACTATACATCAATGACATATGCGCTTGCTTCACGCACGGGAAACCATTCATCTTTGCAGATGACCTAAAAGTAGCTTATACATACTTTGAGAATGTAGTGCAGAAGGAATTAGATAAAATGACTGCTTGGTCGTCCCTATGGAATCTCCAATTTAATCTGAACAAATGTGGCTGGATCTGCTTCGGTGCACCCTCAATTGACCTGAAATTAACGCTTCAATCTGCTAACCTAACCAGACTCCGAAGTGTCGTTGACCTAGGCCTGAGGTACTCTAGTGACTTGACATTCTCTGAGCAAGTAGCATCA